GGGGGGGGGGGGGGGGGACAACCCCAAGGCAAGGGTTAAAAACCCCTTTCGGGTTCTCTTTTAAAAAAAAAAAAAAAAAAAAGGGTTAAGATCCCCTTACCCATCATCTTTTTTTTAAAAAGATGACCAGTAAGGGGATCTTAACCCTTGACTTGGTGTTGTCAGCACCACGCTCACCCAGTGAGCTAACCGGCCATTCCTATATGGGATCCGAACCTGTGTCCTTGGTGTTATCAACACCACAATCTCCCGAGTGAGCAACAGGCTGGCCCCAGAGCCATCATTTCCTGGCTGGGTGACCTTGGGCCAATTATTTCAGCTCTCTGAGCCTTGATTTCCTAATCTGAAGTGGGTATAATAATATTGACAATATACTAATACTGATCATAATTCTGATTCTTATTTTGAATGAATAAGGTAATAACAAGGTACACTAACTCACCTAATACATTCATTCCTTCCTTCATCAAACATTTATTGAACATCTACTATGAACCAGAGTTAATAATGAGAAATAGGAGCTAATAATTTAGAAAACACACGAGCCCTGCTGTTATAAAGCTTATCTTCTAATAGAGGTAGACAGACAATAAAGAGAAAACATCAATGAAGAAGATAAATTTCAGATAGTGATACGTTATTTGAAAGAAATAGAGTGATGGAGATAATGACAGGCTGGGGGAGGCTACTTCAAACAGGGTAATTAGGGAAGGCCTCGTGGAGGTGATATTTGAGCTGAGACCTGAAGATAGGAGTCATTTGACCCCTGGTAAGAAGAGGAAGTGCAAAGGCTCTTTAGAACAAACTTGGGTTGTTTGGGGAGCAGACAGAAGGGCCAATGTGGCTACAGCATAGGAAGCCAGAGGGAGTACTGGAAGAGAAATCAAAGGATGTCCTTGAAGACTAGGGGAGGAGCCTGGGCTTTATTCTAAGTGCAGGTGGGAAGCCATTAGAAGGTTTTAACAGAAGTATAGTAGCAGGGACTTAATGTTAACTATTATTATTATTTATTCTAGGGATACTGAATTAAGGTAGGAGGTGATGACTACTGTGCACCTGGGTCTCTTCGAAGGGGACTAGGTGTCTGAGGTCCCGAATGAGAGCTGGGGAACTCAAACCCTGGGGTCCTACAAGGGAAGGGAACTGGATGATGGGATGTCTGGGCATGTGATGGGGCCAGAGCTGAGTGTGGGTTTGTTGGTGATCTGAGCTCCCTGAGAGGGTGAAGGATGGGCAAGTCAGTGACTGGATGTGTACCTGGGAGACCCAGAAGCTGGGGTGACAGTATAGCATAGACTCTAGAGCCACACTAGCTGGATTCAAATCCAAGCTTTATTCATTGGCTGTGTGATTTTGGACAAGTTACTAATAACCTCTCTCTGCTTCAGTTTCTTCGTCTGTAAAATAGGGATAACAGTAAATACATCATAGGGTAGTTCTTAGAGTGGCACCCAGTAAGTACTGTATGTGCTAGTTATATCAGGCATTGAGGCCCCGAGTGAATTCAATTCTTGGGGATCCTGGTTCAGAGTGTCTAGGAATTGAGGAAGGGGCAAATTCTTGGGTTCATTGGGTGGCAAGGCTAAAGTTGGGAATCCAAAAGGAGAGTCCTTGGGGGAGTGGAATAAGTAGTCCCTGAGGACAGAGACTGGGGATCTGAACTCATATCCCCAAGGAAGTTAGAAAGTCTGGGTCACTGAGGGAAAACTTAAGAGCTGGGAGGGATGTCACGTGCTTCTCTTGGGGTGCAGGGAAGGGGGGCCCCCGCCCTGGTCCTGGGAAGGGGGGGCTAGGCAGATGAAAACTTGAGCCAGGGAGGTGGAAAACAGGTGTGTAAGACTCCAAGTCAAGTCCCTGACTAGAATCAGGGCTAGACTTGGGTACCCTGGGGATGTTCCGGGGTTGGGGTGTATCTTTCAATCTAGGGCCCTGTGGAAGGGGGAGAATCAAGGGACGCGAGGGCGGTGACGGAATCTCCCCGTCCCGAGCCTCTCTACCAGCTGAGCTGAGCTGAGCTGAGCTGAGCGAGCGCTCGCGGGCGCTTCCTCCCACAGGAAACCGCAGCTGTCAGGCACACCCAGCCTGCAGGGAGAGGCGCCCACTGCTTTCCCGCCCCGAGAAGGCCCACGTGCACAGCGGCCAGCCCTGGAGGGAGCGTGGGGAGAGGGAGGGAGGGGGAGAGGATAGAGGAGAGAGAGAGAGGGAGGGAGGGAGAGGGAGAGAGGAGAGAGGAGAGAGGAGGGAGGGAGAGAGAGAGAGAAAGGGGGGAGGGGGAGGGAG